TTAACAATTAACTAACAGATCTAATAAAATGTTACAAAATGAGAATTATTTCCTTCAAATTTAATAAATGAGAGGTTAAAATCTATAAATTTAATAAGATAAGAGGTTAAAAATATTATAATATAAAATAAAAAATTAAAACTTTTAAATTTAATAAAATTAAAAATTAAAAATAAATTTTTACCAACTGTGAGAGGAGGTCATGGTCCACACGCACGGTGTGGTGCATGGGTCTCCAATCAGAGTCGTGACTCGTGTCATGCCCCTTTACGGCTTTACTCCTTTATCTTTACGCCGGTTTGTCCGGAGCGTCGACCTTTGCACGAAAATTTCCATGTCTTTGCCCAACCATAAAATGGGTCATCTTGAAGAGTGAGTAAATGGATAGAATCTGATTCAAGAAAAAGTCTAAAACACAATTGCATGTTATATATTCTACGTGTGATATAATAAGTCAATACATAAATAAGAAATGATCATTTTTTCTATCAAATTATTAAAAAATTTTAAAAATAATATATAATTTTATTTTAATAACATGTGAAGTTGTCAATAATTTATGCAATATAATAACTAACTATATATATATATATATGGATAGACTTAGAACACACTGTTGGGTAAAGCTAGCTACCATTATTGTGGGAGTGTATTATTAAACTTTCCAACTAAGCATGCCACTGTGATGGGTGAGGTTTTGGGTGGACAACAAAGGTTGTTGAATGGAAAGATACGTGGTCCACGAAGGGAAATTTGGGAAAATGGATGTCCTCACAGCGCAAAAGATAGAAAGGTTTATCTACAATCAATTAGGCGCCCTTCCACAGTTGTGCTTAAAAAAGTCTGTTTTCCAACATCAAAAAAATGGAACCCCTTCTTTATCATTGATGTTAAGGTATGCTAACTTATCAATTAAGGTAGACAAAATTATAATTAATCATTTTTTACACTATTAATTCTAGCATTCAAAAATCATATTAATTAGATCTCAACTAATTTATAATCGAGTCAAGTTGAATATCATAAATAGAAAAAACTTTCTTGACATCTGTTTCTTTATTTATAAAATTTGAATTCCAAACATTCTTTTAAGGAGAATCAAACTTAAGGAGAATCAAACTTATTTTACTCGAATCAATAAATCATTAATACAAATTATAATTAATTATTGATAGTATAGAAATCTTTCCCAAATTTTTTTTATCTTGATTGTATAATCGAAAACAACCATTTTTCATTACTTATTTTACCTCACTCACATATAATATAATTCGAATTCAAGATATCTTATTTTCAGTAAAAGAAAATAACTATTAAATTATTTAAGTTATTGGCATCTTTCCTTAATTTTGAATGTTGCATTGTTCAAATTTCAATCATCAACGAACAAAAAGAGAGAATATTAAGGTTTAGGGGTAGGAGAATTGGATCTTGGTTAGATGATTAAATATTATATGAGGGTGGTTGGGTCATATTCCGTGGATGTCTTGGTTTTGATTGTCCAAGATGGCACGAAAATCAGACATTAGTTATTGGTACTTGTGCATTGTATAAGATAATATATTTTTGGTTACAACTTAAACAACAACGGTGGACGTGAATGAAAACGAAACATTGATCCACACAAACCTCGTGATCTAGTTCAGATTTGGTCATTTTTAATGAGCCTTCCTTAACATGCCTCCCAACTGTTCGAACATTTTTATTTCTAGTAATTTTATTTTATCTTGTTAATCTAATGATGTTCAGGAGGAACTGACACATCCCTTTCCATTTTGGGATAATGCAAGGGCAACACATTTTGTTGGCTATTCAACGATAATTTTTTTTTTTATAGACAGAATACTCAAATTTACTATCAAAGAATACTCAAATTCACTCCCAAAGTATAATAGTAGAGATAAATCCACTCCTTAAATAAAAAACGAGGACAAATCCACTTATAAAATTTTTAACTTGAACAAATCATCCTAAATTTAATATGTAATGTTCTCTAACATCAGTAATTTGTTAATTTGACGTCATTTAATGCCAGCAATTCGTTAACGAATTAACAGATTACTGATATTAGATGATGTCACACGTTAAATTTGAAGTAATTTGTCCAAATCGAAAACTTTATGGGTGAATTTGTTTTTGTTTTTTATTTGAGGGTGAGTCCATCTCTACCACTATATTTTGAAGGTAGATTTGAGTATTTTATTTTTTTTATACTAATCTCACAACGTATATTTGTAACTCAAATTTAAAATATTTTATTTTTACTTTTAATTATCATTCGGCATTTTAAGAGTGGAATAAAAGAAGGTAGACGGCTACGGCCCTTAGTTTTGATGACTATAAATCCAGCCCGCATTAGTAAATGACATGGGCCTCGGGAAATTCATAGTAACGTTATTTAAGAGGCTTTATCAGTTTAGGCCCATATAAATATCGTGGATTCTGGACCAGGCCAATACGCACCCTCCTGAACGGGCCCGCGTAGCCGTAATTATCATTCCCTCCTTTGTCCTTTTCCTTTCGGTTTTTGCGATCTTCGTCTTCGGCCTATATTCTCTTTTGGTAAAATAGCTATGCAGTCAGCAGGTACACCCCTCTGCAAAAGCTACCATGTAGGGTTTCAGCTTCATCAATCCCAATCTCAAAATGCTTTCTTTTCTCTTCCAATGGCTCCCAACTTCCTTAAACTGGAGATTTCTAATAAAAAATTCGTAATTCCAAGCCAAAACAAACCCAACAACGGCCCCCACAAGGCGAGGTCTAAAGGGAAGGTCACGTTGAAGGGGAAGAAGGAAAATGTCTGGAGCATTGACAATGAGATTGCTGAGAAGGAAAAAGAGAGGGAAAGGGCCGAGCAGAGGAGAAGGAAAGGGAGGAGAGTGGCCAGGGGGAAGAGGAGCAGGGATGGGAAGGTTTTGGTCTCGGGTGCTATGTTGATGGAAGTTGAGACTGTTCTCCAAACTCAGGTACTTTCCAGTTGGCTTTATTTTGAATTTTTTTGGGGTTGTGCTTGCTACTGCTGCTGAAAACTGTGTTTACGAATTTTGATTAGGGTGAATTATGTCTTAAATGTTTGGGTCTGTTATAGTTTCTTAATAAAAAAAAATCTGAAGAAAGATGGTTTTTTGATGAATGTTGTCTGTTAATATATTGAGAAGAGCGTTCTCCTGTTGGCTTTTGTTAGAATCTGTTGCTTTCATGTGCAAATCAAGGGGGTGCTTTTTCTTTTGGGTGTTTTTTGAACTTTGATTCAACAAGAATGGTCCCTTTATTTATTTATGGTGTTCGTTTCCAGGAACCTGTAATAAGACCAGTGTGGAATACATTTGCTAGTAGTGTCAGTGGAATATGGAAAGGGGTTGGAGCAGTGTTTTCACCTGCAACTGCTGAAATGGAGCCAATTGAAATTGGAAGTAAGAGTGAAAACCTGTACGACTGCTACACCCTTTCTCACATTGAAGTGGTTCCATCTTCTGGGGGTACATCTCAAATCCATAGAAAGATAAACTGGGTGACCTTGAATCCTTATGGTGAGGTGCCACATCATATTGGAGGCAGTAGAAGCAAGGAAGTATCCAAAGATAAGAATGCATCTTTACCCTTAAATGAGCCAGGTGGAGAAATTGGGACTGGCCATATTTTGCCTAAATTTGAATCTTTTGACCTTTCAAAAAGTGATATAATGGAAGAAGATGATATGGGTAATGAACCAGGTCTTGTTTTCTTTGAGGTATGGTTTATTCATCCTTTCTCTTGTGATTTTTTAGATTGCTATTCGTATACTAAATTCTTCAAACAAGGGGAGAGTATGAGCACATTGTTTGACTATCGCTTTGCTGACTAACGTACTGCTCGTGGCATGTCATCCACTGGTTCCTCTAGGTATTAGATCACTAAGGAAAGAGATAAGATTAGTGTTTCTTTGAAGAAGATCTGCATAAATGATAAACTCATGTAATTTGTTAACTACACTTATCTTTCATGTTCTTGATTACTGGGGTCAGCAATTTTACATTCTAGTTTGTTGACTTGCAGGATGGATCTTATTCTAGGGGACCTGTCAATATTCCAGTTGGTGACGATCATGATTCTAAATATTATCTTTCTCCAACTTTCAAGTTTGAGCAGGTAAGTTTATAGTCCTCCATTATCCCATTTTTATTAGCATTTTAATAAAATCGAAGTCATTGTTCTTGGCATTTACTTGCTCTTTACTGGTAACTAGATTGTGTCTATTGGCTGAAAGTTCTACTTCTAGGGGGACTGAAGGATTGAATTTTTTTTTTTTCTTCTTTCCTGTTTAGTGTTTGGTTAAAGGTTGCCACAAAAGACTCCGCATTGTCCACACAATAGAATTTAGTAATGGAGGTTCAGACATACAGATAATGAGAGTTGCTGTTTATGAAGAACAGTGGGTGAGTCCTGCCAATATTGGTGATCTAAGGTATCCTCGTGCTTCTGTTCTGTGTAGTCTTGTCATCTACAAGACCATTATTCGAATTATCTTCCCTTGTCCAAGCATGAGATTGATTGATTGATTTTTTTTTTTTTTTGGTGTGTTTGGTGTCTAATGCGGTTCTTATTGTAACTTTTATACTGCAAAGTGAATACTGGAATTTTTTTTTGTTGGTAATTATAAAAACCAAATTTTTTTTATTTAATCAGCCATGAAGTATAATTAAAATTTAGTAGCAACTTTTGCTGAATTAAGCTTCTTTTCATGATTCTAGGGTTTGTAAAATTATGTTTGATAGACTTGTGTTCTCACAGAAGTCATATTGAATGCATTAAAGTCATAAATAAAGCTGGACTGCTCCACAAACCACAATCGCCAGTCACTCTATAAAAGCTTCATGAAACATAGTTATTTACTGCAGTTAATCTAGGCATGGAGAGTACCTTGTGTATGTGTGGTCAAAGTAAACCAAGCTCCCCAACTAATGGTTTTCTGGAAATGAACACTGCAAGACATTTAGGGCTTGCTTTTGGCATCATTATCGTTTGTGGCATATGACGCTTGTTGTGAAACTGATTGTGCTGGATATATTATGAACAGTGATACGGAGTTTGATTTGAAGCCATTTTCTCAAGGGAAACGAACCCTGCCATCAGAGCTTACTGGGTCATGGAAGGTGTTTGAGGTTAGTGCCACACCAGTGTATGGTGAAGAGGAAACAATGACTGGGGAGAGCAATGCATCCCCCTACGTATACCTTTGCACAGAAACCTTAAAGAAGAGGAGCTTGCCCGAGAACTCAGTCTACTTTGGAGAGGAAGAGATGATAGACATGCAAGATGTTACTGTCCTGTGGCTGCCAGGTGGAGTAACAGGTTATGTTGATGTTAACAAGGATGGTGTTCTTACCATTGGAGTCGGATGGTATTCAGATGAGGGAATCAACCTTGTTATGGAGAGGGATTATGGCACTGATGGGAAGCTCAAAGATGTTCGATGGAAATCTGAACTAAAGAGAAGGTGGTCTGATCCACTTCCCGAATAAAGTATAAACCTTCCGGAATACCCTGTTCCAATATTCACACAGGAAACATGATATTGTTGGATTCCCTATGGATTGTAAGTACAGCGACTCAGCCAGGGGTAGGAGTCACGAGCACAAGGCAAACATCCATTAATTGTAAAATTTCAAATATTCTGATTGAGGATGTCATGATAGCAATAATTATATCAAGTTCTTTGTTCTTGAATTCTTGATAATGAAAGGTCAGTTTATTGCAAGGGTTTGGTGAGGATTGTTAAGTTTCACCAGCAGGAGGGGAGGCATATACTGGCATACCCTTCCAAAGTGGGTGTTTTTTTAATTGTTTTTGGCCAACAAACCATACACTTTTAAAGATTGTAACTTGAATGCAGATTACTATGAGAAAACAAAATGGATGAGAAGGAAATGGACAATCTGTGAGACATAGATAGGACCCACCAAATATCTGGTGCCTCACTCTACCATCATGAAGTATAAGAAGACTTTAGAAACTGATTGAAATGCCATGATTATTGCATGGAATTCAGCATATACCGCCTTTAGCTACCCTCTCTTATTGCTTCAAATTGTAATCTCTTTGGAAGGAGGTTTGCTTATGACTCTTTTGAATCTTCAATCTTGAAATCATAGAGACATGTCGGGAACTTGAATCCTGTTGGTAAGCTTTCTTTCTCTCTCTCTCTGTTTCTACCTTTTTTTTTTTTTCTTCCTTTTTAATAACTAAAAATGTCTTAAGGTTTTCTTTCTTTCTGAGGAAGGAACAAGAATTTGAAATTCAAGTCCTAGATTTAGCCACTTGACAAAAAATCTGCGTTCGAACATTTTGATGTTTATCGTTTAACAAGACAGTGCAGGTCCATTCTGCAATCACAATGATTATTTATTTTTGTCCAATCTTTGTACAGGAGCCTTCCCCATTACAAACAGTTGTAAATCTCCTTCCTCTTTTATCTTGTCCAGTGTTTCTTTAATTTCTTTCTCTATTTTAACCTGCATCACCTGCAGATTCGTAGAATATTTTTACACATATTAGACAATTAAACAATATGATAATTTTTGCTTTTTTGACGCACCAACAACAATAACAACAACAACTCATGGTCGTTCGGTTCGTACTTCCACTGTTGCACTACCATCATTAGCACAGGTTCACCACTACTTCCGCCACTGTAGCATGAGGGCCTGTTTCCACTGCCTGGAGCCTGGAAAATGCCAACCAAACAGTCCCGAGAGTGTTATCAGAACGGGACTGAACTCAACTGAACTCAACTGATGCGGGGTCAAACCGTGACAGATGAAAATAAAATCATTCATTTTAACTTTGTCACATCCTTTTCCTCCAATTCTTCCAACTTTGCAGTTGCAGGCAGCTAAGGCCCTCTTTATCTATATAAAGAAACTAAAAAATATCCTCTTAGGAGAAAAATGAAGGAAAAGTTACGGTATAACCGAACCGACCAAACTAAAGTTTTCCAATATATAAATTTAATAAGATTTCAAGACTTTAATATGTTTTGAGTATAATTAATTAATCATGTTACCTTCAAACAGAGAAAGAGATCTAGAACTGCCAAGAATGAAAATTAAGATGATTAATAATTAGTTAGATCAGTTATATACATATATTCCCATGGACTGAACTGAAACTAAACTAAAGAGCAATGATGATTTCAGCAACAACTTTCTTTCTTTTTTTTTTTGGTTGGAAAAATGATATATACAACAAACTTTCCTTAAAACCACATGCAGTACTAATTAATTAGCTCTTTTTGATCTTGGATTGGAAAGTAGTATGTAATAAAGATCAAATTTCTTAAGCTCAGCACTTGGGCTGTATGTATATATTGGTTGGGTTAAAATATACATACTGTCTGTCTTTTTGGTGAAGAAGCAGCTTTCTGGTTCTGGAAGGAATTAATTAATGGAGAGAGACTTTGGAGGTGTTGTCGGTATTGTGGAGGGAGTTGGGAGGGTCTTTTCAAGGGAAAGAGAATAAGAGTTTGAGTGGAAAATGCATAGAGAGGAAGTGTGTTGTTTTCTGTTTTGGTTGGGTTGGGGAGGGGAGGGAGAGGGAGAGGAAGGAGGAGTTATGATAGTTCTTGTTCTCTTTTGCAGTAAGGAGTGGTCTGAGTGGACATATTATGCCTGCAATCTCTGTGTATCTATTGGAATTTGATTTGGCAGGATTTGAGAGGGCAGATGCTCTTTCTCCCTCCCTTTCCATCTTTCAACTTTTCATTTTGACATGGATGGAAGTTTTCATCCATCTACCCCACCACTCATTGCCCTCAAGACTAGCTCTGTCACATTATAGGTAATTAATTTATTAAATTGATAATTAAATTCTTGGTTTGAGACCACTTTTTCCATCAAAATGTGAAACCAACTACACGAACTTTTTCCAAAGCTATAAGGCCTATTGCAAAACAAAACAATTAGTAGGTTCACAATAATTTAGAGTTTATTGAAATAACTTTTTAAAAGTGCATTTTATTGAAAATGTATCTTTGTTAATTTTGTTTTTTATCATATATATTTTATAATTGAACATATAAAAGAAATAGTTTTTTAATCTTAATTAAAACTTTTACTACTAAGACATCGTAGGAGATATATCTAATTTGTTAGTTAGTATCATCATATCACATTTTTTAATGTTTTCTCTTTAATTACATCGTATTAATTAAAATTTTAACAAACCAAATCTTAAAATATGGACCTAATTAATTAATGACATTCTAAAAATACATTGTTAAAACTTGTAAGATATATAAAAATAGTTAAAAATATTTGACAAAATCATTAAATAAAAAGATAATATTCAGTATCAAAAACTTATTTTTTTAATACATTTTTATTTAACGAAAACGGGCATTAATTTAAAAGAAAGAAAAAGTTCTTATTATTTTTTTATAAAAATAATGGTTAGTAAGTTAATATTGTTAAATATTAATAATTGAGCATTCAATTTTCAGATCTAATGAACATCCTACCAACCTCAACCCCAACGTGCCACCAAACCGTTTTAGTGAAATTTGTTCAAAAAAAAAAACTCTCATTAACTATTTATGGATAAATAAAATATTCCAATATCATAAATTTTTTGTCACAAAAAAGTACAAAAAGCCCAAATCACCCTTAAATAATTCTTTGATGCTCCGCCGTAGAGAGGAGCAGTGCACCTTCGTGCAAGACTTCTGCTCTCCACAAGAAGATGGAAAGGAAACACACTTGTTAATTTCCAGGAATCATCACCTCCTTAAATTTCTTTTTCCTCCACTAGTTGACTTGATTTATAATTTCTATTCTACCTGCAGTGTGTATCACGAATCAGCTATTTTCCACTCAGCTGTGGTTCCTATTTTGTGATACATATAAAAGCAGAAGGGGAGAGAGAGAGCTTTGTTTGGGTATACTAATTAAAGAAAATGGAAGGAGGAAGATCAGGGGTTCAAAATTACGAGCTTCAGGTTTCCTTCTCGACGCCACAGGGAATCAACGAAATGGGTTTTGTCCAGTTCGAAGAAAACCAGGTGGTGAGTTTCTTGGCCGCTTCACAGGCAGCTGCTTCTCAAATTTCTCTCCCTCTAAACAGCACCGCCGCTGCAGTCACCAACACCACGCCCATAGGGTTCAGTCATAACGAACAGGTAATATAAAAAAAAATTCAAGATTTTATCATTATATTATATATCTCCAGGATTACCTAGTAAGTCATCATTTATATATTAATTTTCAGGTGGGAACATTAGATCCGAAAGCTGTTAATGAGGAGAATTGCACTGGGAATGCTAACGATGGAAGTAATTCATGGTAACCATGATCTTTCTGTCTGTCTATCTCTCTCTCTCTCGTAAGATGCACATCCATCATACAAAAACTTTCATGCATGCTAGCTAGCTAGCTCATGGTACATATATACCCTAGGTGATATTCTTTTAATTAGAAGATCTAGCCATATTATGTGTACATGGAATCTAGCTAGATGTTGGTTCAAAAATTTCAAACTAGGAAACCATATGAAGAAGTAATTAATTAAGTACTTGACCAATTAATGGAATTAGTCTTGACACATTATATCTATGTATATGTCCATCAAGACTATTTATGACTAAATCAACATTTTTCTTCCATTATAAAGATTAATAAAGTTTGGGGTCTTGGTGCATGCAGGTGGAGGAGCTCGGCATCGGAGAAGAGCAAAATGAAGGTGAGGAGAAAGCTTAGAGAACCAAGGTTTTGTTTCCAAACAAGGAGTGATGTGGATGTGCTAGATGATGGTTACAAATGGAGAAAATATGGACAGAAGGTGGTAAAAAATAGCCTTCATCCAAGGTATTTATATAAGTTATATTTATAACTCAGGCATGATTATTAATTAGAAAATACATATAGCCTTTATTTCAACTCTATATGCATATATAAATTTTCTCTCTTTCTCTGAATCATCAATTTTAGTTAATTAAGTAGTTTTGTTTACAACATCTTTAACTTGTTAATTATGATCTGCATAAAATAACTAGGAAGGCAGATATTAATTAAGATGTGAGGAGGCCGGCATCGATGACTTCTATGTTCTAGTGAGTACAAGAGAATATAATGATATCAGTAATAAAGTTAACAAGTACAAGGAAGTCATGCTATGTGAGGGTTTCTTTTTTTTTCTTTTTTCATTTTTCTCAGGAATATTTACTTATGTAATCATTTTCAGGAAAGAAAAATGGGAAAGGAAGTGCTATATACTGTTATATATGAATCAGCTTGTTTTATATATCTGTTTAGATCTAAAAAACCCTTTTGTTTTGCAATGTTGGCACACCCTAAATTGGCACCCTCCTGAATCTGATATATATGCTGTTTTTCCCTTGCATTTTGCAGCTGTACGTCTAATTATGTCTAGCTAACAATAAAATTCTAAATATATATATATATGTTCTCAACATTTGTTTCATGGATTACTTGGCAGAAGTTATTACCGTTGCACACATAGTAATTGTCGAGTGAAGAAGAGAGTGGAACGTCTGTCGGAGGACTGTCGAATGGTGATAACAACTTACGAAGGTAGACACAACCACTCTCCTTGTGATGACTCAAATTCATCTGAACACGAAGGCTTTACTGCTTTCTAGCTAGCTAGCTGCACGTAGCATCATATATATATATATATATATATATTAAGGAGAGCCAAATTAGAACATATTATATATTGTAATGAATATAGTGCTCTGGTATTAACTAGTGATCGACATCTTAATTAATTTGTATGTATGATTTTAGCAAGTCCTCTTTCGCATATTTGTGTAATCATCTCTTGAAGATGCATGAGACTAGTGTACAATGTGCATGCATGTGGAGAGAAAAGGAATTGAAACAGTAGCAAGATGTACTCAACAATTAATGTTGTTTTTCCTTTGCCTTTTTTCTTCATAATATGAACTTAATTAGGGTTCAAAATCATGTGTTCAAATGTTTTAACAAATCAATATTAAAGGTGGAGTGACCAGCGTGCGTGAATGCAAAATCTTGAACGTTTTGCTTTACCATTTGGTCTCTCAATGAATACATAAATTCACAGGTTGATTTTTTTTTTTTTTTGGGTACATATATTTACAAGTTGATTTAATTCTTGAATATATTAATATATTCTTTATCTATTGAACAAAATTCTTATTTATAGTAGTTAATTTATTATCTATATCAATAATGTTATTATATGTTCAGGAGAAATATATATATGCTAACATGTAGGGATTATACTATATAAACAATTGATCTTAATATATAAAAAGTGTTGTGCAGTTTAAACTGTATTAGACTGTACAATATTAATTATTAAATGATGGTTGAGTCTATTAATATTAAAGGCCCTTCTCATATTCAATAATTCATATTTTATAATTTAAATGATAAAACATAATTCTATAACTTTACCTTTTATTTTATTTTTTTGAAAATCTAAATTTTCCCAATGGATGAGTTCACAATTTTCAAAAAGAGAGTAGCAAATAATAGGGAGGGTGTTTGAAAATTTTAAAAAAGTTCTTTCACAAATTTATAATTTTGTTGGTGAAAATTTTAAAAATTAATTTTTAATGAATTTGGAAAATAATGTGTAATTTTTATAAAATTACTTAAAAGTTAATTTTTAAACTTCCCCCAACAAATTTTTAAATTTATGAATAAAGAAATTTCTTTCAAACAAGTTGTTTTATAAGTTCTACCAATTGAGGGTGTTTCGTAGAGTTTAAAAAGTAGGTTGCTTAAAAATATCACATATTTAAAAATTTGTTACAGAAAAAATTTAAAAATTAATTTTTTTTTCAAAGTGATTTTTAAGTAATTTTTGAGAAAATTATACATTTTAAACTTTTTTAAAATTTAATTAAAAATCACTTTTAGAAGTTAGTTTTTAAATTTTCATTTAACAAAATTTTAGATTAATGACAATGAGAAAAAAACTTATTTTTTAAATAAATTACTTCTGTAATTTTACCAAAAAAAAAAAAAACTGTTGTAAGCTCCAACATCCTCGAGTTGCGCAACGCGTGATGCTCGCATCAACAAACCAGGTCGGCGGAAAACTGGAAATAGCCGAAGATTGCTCTGGCAATAGTGTTTTTAAGGTCTATAATTAGGCCCACGGCCCAAATATTGTAGAAGCCAATCGGATCTGTTTGCGTCTGTTTAACGCAAACATCTTGGGGGTTGGGCTATCTGCTATTCGTTAAAACATTTTACTACAATCAGGTTACCCAATGCAAGCCCAGCTAAGATATAACCCGATATATAACTCCTTTGGGCCACTAAGGTTTTGGGTTCTGTTGTACCATCTAACGTTGCTGTCTTGATGATTGATTTTCTACATAATTTCTCAACTGAGAAGTAGAGATAATTCTAGTTGAAAATTTTAAATTATATATATAGTCCATGATTGATCTCAAAATCTGTAAAGAAAGCAACAAGAAATTCAAATCTATTTGCCTGGAAACGAAATAAATAGAGTTTACAGAGCTCATAACCAAGAACAGAATTCAGGATGTATCAAACAGTAGACTTCTTTATTCCAAGTTCTTTTGAGGTTGACTTTGATTAATGTAAGCATAAAATTATGAGAAAGAAGGTCCCCATGACATGACCATTAGAGGTAATGATCGTGGATTATCATTCTCTGTATATATTCTTCCAATCTTGTAGGCTGTAGCTCTATCTTGAACAAATGTATTTGGGCATCACTGATATTCCTTCCATCCGTATGCTGAAAATGTGAAATCTGCACAAGTTGAAAATATAAGAAATCTCTGGCAGCAACCTAACCTATGGTTAAGATACATTCATAACAAATGGAAAAAAGCAATCATAATACATTACCCCAAAAACATCTTGCAAAAAGTTTATTGAACATCTGCTGTCCCTTGTTGAATTTAATCTGAAATTGCAGTGAAAAGGTTATTACGAGAAGAATCATGCAGTTGTATGGCAAAAGTCTACGAAAGAAAGTAGTGTAACAAAACTTGATCTAAACATAACTGAGAACATGGGGAGATTACCATTCTATCTCCACGTTGGGAATGTGGGCTACCCTCGTCGAGTAATCTCCTGTCTTCTTCAAGCATTTTTGTTTTAAATGTTTGCAGTTTCTGATACAAAGTCTTCCAAGTGTTGCAGGCAGGCCTTCCCTTGGCAAGTGTCTCAACTTTGGACAGTCAACAACTTCTAGTTCTTCGAGTGAGGTCAGGTTTTGCAGTGCTGAGGATAGAGATTCCAGATTGTTGAGTCTTGCAATGAAAATCAAGCTGAGGCTCGTAGGAAGCAAACAATTTTCATCCGGGAAAGAAGTTATATTAGGGGCACCAGCAATGTTGAGCTCTTTAAGAGAGGTTAGAGATTCCAAGTTCCATTCTGACATTGGCTCCTTCAGATTTATACAATCCCAGATCTTAAGTAACAATAATTGTGGAGGCAAATCACCTATAGGAAAGATCATAAGACGTGGACAGTCACAAACTGTTAAATATTGAAGAGAAGCAAGATTTTTCATCCTCTCTGGCAGAGACTTAAGATTGACACAGTTGTCGATTTCTAGCGTATTCAAGTTAGGGGGGAGGCCTATCACTGGGAAGGAGATTAAAGCTGGACAGCTACTTATAGTTAACTCAGTCAGATGTGCGAGGCAATGTAGGCATTCAGGCAAATATTTAAGAGTAGCACAATTCCGCATACGGATGTATTCGAGTGATGCATTGTTCTGTAACAGCTGCTCTGAAAGTGGCTCCAGCTTTGAGCAATCTGAAATCTTTAGTGTTTTAAGACTAAATGGTAATCTGCCTTTGGGAAAGCAAGTTAGAGAGGGGCAATCATCAATCTCCAAGCTCTCAAGATGAGACACGTTTGTGCTGTCATCATTTTGCATGATTCCTCCAGGTAAAGACTGCAGATCTCTACAACCTCGGATTTTCAACCTTTGCAACTTGGTAGGCAAGATGCCTGTTGGAAAGGATGTGAGGGAAGGACATTCTTCAATCTCCAAGACTTGAAGAAGATAGTCAGTAGTCCTGTAGTTAGGCATTGCTGTCCAATTAGGCAAGGTTATAAGAGCTGCACAATCTTTGAGCTTAATACGTCTAAGAGTGGACAAGCAACCTATCTCAGGAAAGGATACAAATTTTGGGCATGATTCAATTTGCAAGCTTTTGAGACATAGTTTCTCCAAGTTGCCACTGTTCATCAATTCCACATTTTCCACACCACAAGGAAGACCTTGCTCATTTTCTACTAGAGACACAAATTTGGAGCAGCCTTTAATTTCCAGATGCTCGAGAGAAGCAATGTTTTTCAGCTCAAAGCCCCTCTGCCACAAATATATCAGCTCAGTGCAATTTGAAATCTCTAGGATTTGAAGTGCACCTAGAGTCTCTAGCATCTCTTGTGGCAGACATGAAAGGTCCCTTATGCCCTGAATCTTCAATGTGGTTAGGGAAGTAAGGTCAACAATATTTTCCAGCCTTACTTTGTTGCAATCTTCAATTTTTAGTTCACAAAGGGAGGGCAGGCTTGTAAGTGAATGCCCCAATTTTGGGCAATGACTAATGATAAATTTCACAAGGGAAGGAAAGCAGCTTGGTAGGTTTCCAATCAGTTTTGGACAATTTTGAATTACAAGCTCACAAAGAGATGGAAATCCATCATCCAAATCCACATTAGTCTCTTGAGGAGAAGACCAGCATTCCCATTCTAACATATTCTGAAAGCAGAGAACTTCTAAGGATGGAAACCACTTAGTAGACAGAAAATCATCTCCATAGAACTCAAAACCCACCTTTTTGACTCTGTTCATGCCTTGGATGGACACCGTCCTCAATGATGGCAGTTTTCCAAGTGATGGAAGTGACATGCTTACACTACAATTATGGAGTTTTACTTCCACAACATTAGTGAATGAGGGATCTCCTAACCAATGTGGAAATCTTTTACCACCATAAAACGAAATTCTAAGTTCTTTCAAATTTTTATGAGGCTGTAGCATATCCAGAACATGCATTTCATCTTCTTCGTTTTGGTAATCAAAGAACTCACTCCATTTCAAATCTAAGGCATCAAGACACTGCTTATCCACTAGATTAGCAAGCCTAGCATCTCGAACATTCACCACATTTTCCAACCCCATAATGCAAAACTCCCCTTTTAGATGCATCAAGTCCTTCAATTCTTTAATGCCAAACTGATTGTCCTTTCCCACAATGAATTTGGACAAAATTTGAAGGTTTTTCAAATTACCAATCCGTAGTGGCATCTCCACTAATTTCTCAGTATCAGTAAGATCAAGAACAAGAAGGTTAATCAGATTTTCAATACTTTGTGGCAATTTAGTAAGCTCCTTGCAGCCACGCAATAAAAATGTTTGTAAGTTGAGTAAGGAACCTACAGATTCTGGTAACTGTTTAATTGTGCTGTATGACAAATTAAGGTACCTCAATTGCTCCAAATGACCAATAGAATATGGTAGTTCGCCAATGTCGTAGCCACTCAAACATAGCACTCTTAAGTATCTTAATTTTGCCACCAATTCCTGCAACACATCCTTGCTCAAGTAACAGCATGCTGTTTTTGAAGATGATGTATCAATTGGTAATGCTATGAAAGTTCGTAAAGACTTCGCTGGTTCAAATACTTCAAATCTTTTGAAAATGTCATATTGGCGGCGAGTGAATGACAAATGACGAAGCTTTTCAATACTTCCAGCCAGTTTATCTCCACAGTTATTCTCAAAATGAAAGCATATTTCTCCAGCAATAGATTGAGCTAGATCATTTATAAGGTCATGCATAACAAACAATGTTTCGTTGCTATTTGACCGTTGGAAAAAAGACCTTGAAAGCAAATCATGGAAATATGCAAGACCTAGGTCCCACGCTTGCTTTTCTCCCTTGGCTTCTTGTATCAAACCCTCGGCCATCCATAGTAGAACCAGCTCATTCTTGTCAAATTCATAGTCTTTTGGAAAAATTGCACAATAGGCAAAGCATCGCTTCAAATGGGAAGGAAGATGATGGTAACTCAACTTCAAATCAGGAATGATGCCACCTCTTTCTTCTGGTATGTCCCGTATTTTGCTCCTTAGCATATCTTCCCACTCATCATAATTTACTTTACCACGCAGGAGCCCACCTAGTGTCTTGGTTGCCAATGGTAATCCTTTGCACTTCTTCACTATCTCCCCACCAATTCCTTTTAGATTTGCTTGTCCATCAAAATTACTAGCTCGAAGAGCATGTGTGGCAAACAGTGACATGCAAGCATCATCAGACAATGCCTGCAAATGGTATACCTCACATGTTGTCATGATAGATGCAACCCTTTCACTTCGAGTCGTTACAAGTACCTTGCTACCAGCTGTTCCCGCCAAGAAGGGTCTACGTAGAACATCCCACCTTTTATAGTTCTCATTCCAAACATCATCTAAAACAATCAAAAACTTCTTTCTAGAAAGCTCCTCCCTTAGCCTCAGTTGAAGTGAATTTAGGTCGCCCTTGGAATGGCAACTCCCCTTAGTGACAGACTGCAATAGAATCTCAGTCAGCCTAACAACATCAAAGTCCTCAGAGACACAAACCCAAACCCTCAATTCAAACAAGTTTTCAACTTTCTCATCATTGTATACAAACTGAGCAAGCGTGGTTTTACCCACTCCCCCCATTCCCACAACACAAACCACACCAATTTCACCAATTTCAACATTCATCAACCGTTGAATAATCTCATGTTTATCCATTTCCCGGCCATAAACCTGAGATTCATCAACAAGAGAACTCGTCGACCGCAGCCCATCCCTTATTCTCTCCAATCTCCCTTCATCACTCCTCCCCAACAAATTCAAAACATTCATCCGCTCAACCATACCTTCAAATCTAACAGTGATATCTTCCATTTTAGAACCCATCCGTGCACTAAACTTAACAACACTTAAATTCAGACCGGTGACACAATTTGGGACAAATCGGCATACCTTACTGCCGGTGCTCGTCATCTGAGTCACCCCCAGTATTCTTCGGCGCAGGGCCTCGGTGGCAATTTCATCAGTGATATCCTCAGCATCATACACTATGTCTTGTAAATCGCTAAGCCAGAGCTTCACCGCTGGACTGACCGTTTGCTTATCTTCTGCGCCATCGAGAATGGATCTGAACTGTGGTAACAGGTTCTGCCACTTGTTGAGTTGGGACAAAACTTGCTCTTGCCGGACAAAGTTGAGAAACTCTGAGGAGGCAAATAATCTTTCAAATATATAGTCAAACAGAGAGGAGAGCATTGCGCCCGCAATACTTGATGGTACAGCTTCCATTGAAAATCAATGAATCTGAAATCGAAACCCAAAGAGAAACAGTTTAGTATTTTTTTTTATTTTTTTCAGTTCCAACTAAAAACTCAATCAAGAGATCTGAGTGCAGAGTGCACTACACCAAAATGATATATTATGAGCAGTGCTAGGAGCTGGTGAATTGTGAATATGACTAAGATAGGGTGGCAATTGGTTGTGGTGGAAATTTTTTTTTTTCTTGGTAAAAGGGTTATGGTGGATGTTGAATTGGAAGTGATGATACCTCGTGAATTACGAATTTCGCCACTATATTTGACAGATGATCGTGGGTGAAAAAGGATGGGTATTTCTACAGGTGAAACCTGCAGGTAATGGTGGGGATTCTGGGGAGGTGGAGAAAAAGAGAAGGCAACGATTTAGATGAAAAAGAAAAAGAAAAATAAGCCAGAAATCTTACCTCGACAAGTTCAGGAAACTTCAGGCTCCTACAAGTTCATCAAACTTCAAGAAACTCAAATCAAAGAGAGAAAGTTCCAGTCTTTTGTCCTATCAATCCAAAAGTTCATTTCGGAAGAAGAAATAACTTTTTTTTTCTTGTTCAAGGAAGTACTTTAATTTATTATTATTA